GGAGGTCACCGCGGCAATAACACCATATTTGTTTGGGCTCTAACCTCGCCGTGTGTAGCTCCAGCTTATTCCCAAACTGTTTTGCAGATTTGCATATGACCGTAGGCGTAGTGTTGAGATAGGTGTTACTCTGCTAAAGCCAGCAATACACACACACACACACACACAGAGAGAGAGAGAGAGAGAGAGAAGCTTACTCATGGAATTAAAGTGATAACACACTATTTATTGCTCCAGCAAACTAAGACAAGACATCACACTTTGTAAGCATGGGAAAAAAAAACAAACCTCAGCTCTTTTGCCCTGGATCCAAAACAGGACAACATTCGTATCCAGTGTCGTACCTGTAAATGTTTACATGCAACAAACCTGTCAGTTGTAAGTCACAGCAGAGGGTACATTGCAAAAAGAGTGCATTCAATTCACCAACCGTATTCACGCCACACACCAGAAGCTGGGTCTTCATCTGAGTGGGATGTGAAACGACATCACAATTTATTCTCACTAGTATCTTTACAACATTTACAACCAGCAAATTGATAAGGAAAGCTAATAAACCAAGGCAGATCATTTGTGAAACAACGCTGTAAACACTCTGATTCAATGGGTCTTAACATTTAAATGTCAAATCAAGTCTTACACCCATATTTCTCTCAACCAAAATTAATATTTGTCCGTGCACTGGATTACTTGATACAGAACAGCCTGGGACTCTCCTAAGGCACAGATAATAGGATAGAGTGTACAATATATTTGTATAATAGATTGTGTTTCAGCCTCTAGCTAATTTTATATATATTCACACATAGCAATATTACTGTAAACGTCTCCATTTAGAGTCAGTAGTGTGTACTCCAGTCTATAAATCCAACTGTATGTTTACCTTGTACAGTACTGAGGTAATGAGCTGTGAAGTTTTGACCATTAACTCCATGCTCCATCCATTTTTTCCTCCAGGTATTGGAGCTGATCCATCTTTGGAGCTGCCAGCTGCAGAGCAGCTGCACAGCACCCGCTCCAGGGCCTCAGAGATTCACCCTCATCTGCAATCATGGAGATAAAGTCTCCTTAAGATGAAAACAAGGCCTGGAAGAAGAGAGTTAACCATGTGGAAAACGCACAGAGGCAGGTGGAAGAACCAGGAGACAGTCAAACGCCAAAAGGTGAGCTATTGGTCATAAAAAGGTCAAGGCCAAATCTAAAAAAACAGCTCCTTTGGCAAATTATTTATTGTTACATTATCGTTACATCCCTCAGTAGTTGTCTATCAGAGATGGATGTAGCGGGTTGCCCCAGGCACGATAGTGGTGTGGTGCCCCCTATTGCCCAATTTTGTCTAATGTTTCCAGCAGATGTCTTCCTTGGTGGTTACCAGTGAAACAATACATACAGTAGTCAAAATGAATTATGCAAACACACGTGACACCGTTTTTTTTTTTTAATAAGCTTGTCTCAGAACAAAGTTAGAACATGTTCAGACCAGTCCATATTAAACAATTCAAGTCGTGTCTCATGTCTCCACTGACTGAACGAGTACAACTTACCACCGTTAAGTTGAAAAATAAATCTACTCGTACTGCTCTCCACTCC